AGAAAACGAGAAAACGAGGAAACAAACCAGCGCCCGAGAAAACGAGACCACGACCCAGAAAACGAACCAGGGTCCGAGAAAACTCGACCACGACACAGGGGCAGAGAAAACGAGAAAACGAGAAAACGAACCAGGGCCCGAGAAAACCAAACCACGACCCAGGGGCAGAGAAAAAAGGAACACGAGAAAACGAACCAGGGTCCGAGAAAACAAAACCACGACCCAGGGGCCGAGAAAACGAGAAAACACGACAGCGAACCAACGCCCGAGAAAACCAGACCACCACCCGGGGGCCGAGACAACGAGAAAACGAGAATACTAAACAGCGTCCGAGAAAACAAAACCACGACCCAGGGGCCGAGGAAACTCGAAAAACGAGAAAACGAAGCAGGGTCCGAGAAAACGAGACTACGACCCAGGGGCCGAGAAAACGAGAAAACGAGAACACGAACCCTGTTCACAGAAAACAAAGAAACGACCCAAGCGCCGAGAAAACGAGAAAACGAGAAAACGAAGCAGGGTCAGAGAAAACGAAACCACGACCAAGGAGCCGAGAAAACTCGAAAACGAAAAGGGTCAGAGAAAACTGGACCACGACCCAGGGGCCGAGAAAAAAAGAAAACGAGAAAACTAACCAGGGCCCGAGAAAACGAGACCACCACCCAGGGGCCGAGAAAACAAGGCAACAAGAAAACGAAGCAGGGTCAGAGAAAACACGACCACGACCCAGGGTCCGAGAACACGAGAAAACACGACAACGAACAAGCGCCCGAGAAAACGATACAAAAACCGAGGGCCCAAGAAAACGAGAAAACGAACCGAGACCCGAGAAACCGAGACCACGACCCAGGGGCCGGGAAAACTCGAAAACGAGAAAACGAACCAGGGGCCCGAGAAAACGAGACTACGACCCAGGGGGCGAGAAAACGAGAAAACGAGAAAACCAACCAGCGTCCGAAAAAACGAGACCACGACCCAGGGGCCGAGAAAACGAGACAACGAGCCAGGGTCAGCGGAAGCAAAACCACAATCCAGGGGCAGAGAAACGGAGAACGCGAGAGCACGAACCGGGGTCCGAGAAAACGGGAGCACGACCCAGGGGCCGAGAAAACGAAAAACGAACCAGGGCCAGAGAAAAGAGAGACCACGACCTAGGGGCCGAGAGCACGAGAAAACGAGAAAACTCACCAGGGTCCGAGGAAAGAAAAGACCACGAACTAGGGGCCGAGAAAACGAGACAACGAGACCACGAACCAGGGCCCGAGAAAACGAGACAAAAACCCCAAAGCCTAGAAAACGAGAAAACGAGACAACGAACCAGAGTCTGAAAAAACGCGACCACGACCCAGGGGCCGAGAACACAAAAAACGAAAAAACGAAACAAAGTCCGAGCAAACGAGACCACGATCCAAGGGCACAGAAAACGCGAAAAGGAACCAAGGTCCGAGAAAATACGACCACGACCCATGGGTCCGAGAAAACGAGAAAACGATAAAAAGGAATCAGTGCCCGAGAAAACGAGACTACGACCCAGGGGCCGAGAAAACAAGAAAACGAGAAAACGAACAAAGGTCAGCGAAGACGAAACCACGACCCAGGGGCAGAGAAAACGAGAAAACGCGAAAACGACCTACGACCCAGGGGCCGAGAAAACGAGAAAACGAGAAAACGAACCAGGGTTCGACGAAACCAAGACCCAAGGGCCGAGATCACCAGAAAACGCTTGGTTCGAGAAAACAAAACCACGACCCAGGGGCCGAGAAAACGAGAAATCAAGACAACGAGCCAGCGCCCGAGAAAACGAGACCACCACCCGGGGGCCGAGACAACGAGAAAACGAGAATACTAAACAGCGTCCGAGAAAACAAAACCACGACCCAGGGGCCGAGGAAACGAGAAAAACGAGAAAACGAAGCAGGGTCCGAGAAAACGAGACTACGACCCAGGGGCCGAGAAAACGAGAAAACGAGAACACGAACCCTGTTCAGAGAAAACGAGACCGCGACCCAGGGGCCGAAAACACGAGAAAACAAGAAAACGAACCAGGGGGCGAGAAAACGAGAAAACGATAAAAGTCAGGGCCCCAGAAAACGAGACTGCGAACCAGAGGCGGAGAAAACACGAAAACAAGAAAACGAACCAGGGGTCGACGTTATTTTCCAGTGCGTTCTCTAGCGCTGCGGTGCGCACCTGTCTGCAGGGATTCAGCCATTTTGCCATCACCCCGGAAGGGAGGGGGATAGCTTCGGAAGCCCCCTCCACCCCTTCGCAAAGGAGGGTGGAGGGGGGTAGCTTGAAGCCGCCCCCCCCCCCCTATGTCCAGACCAAACAAGGAAGGAGGGGGCTAGCTTCCGAACCCCCCCCCTTGAAAGGGAAGCCGGGGCTCACCGTCTGCTCCGGAAAAGGGAGGGAGGGGGGGATAGCTTCGAAGCCCCCCCCCGCTTTAGCCAGGGCCCCCCGAGCTTAGAAACCCTTACAGAAGGGAGGGAGCGGGGTAGCTTCGGAAGCTCCCCCCTTTTGGAAGGGAGGGAGGGGGGTAGCTTAAAGCTGGGGCCCCCCTTTCCTTATTCCTGGCGCTGCGGGCGCGCTCTATCACATATCCGGCAATCTCATGACAGCATCAAAAAACAAAGCATAGCACGACAGCAAGTCATAGCGAAACATACTAGCAAAGCAGATCGGACTCTACTATACTGAACCGAACTGTCAACCGCATCACGGAGCGGAGCGGACTGGAACATAACCTGGCATAACACATCATGTCATAACATAGTGCCACAGAGCTGATCATAGCAGAACCTATCAAAGCATATGATGGCAGAGGTGAGCATCACACAACATAATCAATCAGGGAACATCATAGGAGACGACGCATCTAATGTCACAGGCGTCACGACGTCACGCCGGCCCGTCGAGAACATAACAAGACCTAATAGAACAGACGACGGAATAACGTGACTACATGGAACACGATTGAACCGTTTTCGAATCCAGAAACGGAAATTGTCGACTAATTAGGCGACCGCGCGCCGTCGGGAACAAACGCTTAAGGCTTCGGTGGGGATCGCTCGAAACTACATAATTTTCTTCACTGAGCGAACTGCCAGCTCATCACTCGTTCTGGACCAAATGCCACGTATCACAGAAGGAGTGGTCGCTCGACACTGCGGCATGGCCATTGACTTTTCACACACTTGCGCTCGAATTAAGCTCGGCCCACAACTCCCGTCAGAACGCCCTGGCTGCAGTGGGCCAGAGGTTTTTCCGAGGGTTGCAGGTGCGAGATATCAATCCAAAGCTACCCAAGGCGAGTGCGAGCGCCAACTAAGTGAATTGCCAACATGTGAAGCGCATCTCTGGAACTCTGGCTGGGGGGCAGCGGAAGGGGGGCTGCCCTGCGCATCGCGCACGTGAAGCTTCATCATCGGCAATGCAAACGACCGACCAGCCCGCTTTGAAACTGCCGAATGGCAAGAAATTTGACGATCTGCCAATGAACAGACACCCCTCGAACCATTCAGCGAACCAAGCGCCCGACCAACCTGATACAATGTCCTTCAAAGACCTCCTGGCAACCAGAGGGCTCACCGTGAGAATCATGGCCCAACGCCCAGCAAATGCACTTCTGACGAACGCAGATGTGAAACTCGTCTTTGGTGGCGCTCCGTCACGGGCCACGAAGCATGTGCAACTTGTGCCGAAATGGTGCGGGGGACGCATGTGGACCCTCCCGCTGGGTCCTTCGGTGGAGCTCATTGTGGAGCTACGAAACGTGTGAGGGGTGTGCAATGGACCCTGCCACTGGGGGCATTCGGTGGAGCTCCCTGTGGGGCCACGAACCGTATGAGAGGTATTGACGTGTGTGCCGACATGAGGCGGGGAGGGCGCATGTGGACCCTTCAATCGGGGCCTTCGGTGGACCTCCCTATGGGGCCACGAAGCGTGTGTGGGGTGTGCCGAAATCGGGAGGGGGGCGCATGTGGACCCTCCTACTGGGGTCGTTGGTGGAGCTCCCTGTGGGGGGGGCACGAAGCGTGGGAGCGGTGTGCCGAAATAGTGCGGGGGGGAGGCGCATGTGGTGGACCCTTCCACCGATGCTTTCGGTGGAGCTCCCCATGGGGCCACGAAACGTGTGAGGGGTGTGCCGATATGAGGCTGGGGGGGCGCATGTGGACCCTCCCACTGGGACCTTCGGTAGAAGGGCCGCGAAACGTGTGAGGGCCTTGCCGACATGGAACGGGGGATGCACCTGAACCCTGCCACTGGGGCCTTCAGTGGAGCTCCCCATGGCGTCACGAAGCGTATGCCGAAATGGTGCGGGGGGGGACGCACGTGGACCCTCCCAGTGGTGCCTTCGGTGGAGCTCCCTACGAGGCCACGAAACGTGTGAGGGGTGTGCGGGGATGGGGCGGGGGGGGGGCGTGCGAACCCTGCCACTGGGGCCTTAAGTAGAGCTCCCTGTAGGACCCGTAAGGGGAGTGCCAAAATTATGCAGGGGGGACGCATGTGGACCCTCCCATCGGGGCCTTCGGTGGAGCCCCTTGTGGGGCCACGAAGCGTGCGAGGTGTGCGCCGACCGGACGCGGGCGACCGCACGTGGACCCTCCAATCGGGGCCTTCGGTGGAGCTCGCTATATGGCCACGAAGCGTGCGAGGGGTGTGCCGAAATGGTGCGGGGGGGGGGCATACGAACCCTGTCACTGGGGCCTTCGGTATAGTTCCCTATGGGACGTGCGAGGGGAGTGCCGAAATGGTGTGGGGGGGGACGCCTGTGAGCTCGGTGGAGCTACCTGTGGGGCCACGAAACGTGTGAAGGTTGTGCCGAAATGGGGCGGGGTGACGCATGTAGACTCTCTTGATGGGGCCTTCGGTGAAGCTCCCTATGGGGCCACGAAACGTGTGAGGGGTGCGTCGACACGATGCGGAGGGACGCACGTGTACCCGGCCACTGGGACATTCGGTGGAGCTCCCCATGGGACCACGAAACATGTAAGAGGTGTGCCGAAACCAAAACATGCGCAGGCCAGGGGCAAGGGTGGGATGAGGGAGGAAAGGGAGAGGGAGGGGAGGAGAGGAGAGGAGAGGAGAGGAGAGGAGAGGAGAGGAGAGGAGAGGAGAGGAGAGTAGAGGAGAGGAGAGGAGAGGAGAGGGGCAGAGGAGAGAAGAGGAGAGGAGAGGAGAGGAGAGGAGAGGAGAGGAGAGGAGAGGGGAGAGGAGAGGAGAGGAGAGGAAAGGAGAGGAGAGAGGTTGCGGGGGGCTGTCTTTTCAAAACGACACCCAGCACCTGAGGATGGTTGGAAACAAAATCGCACACGGGCCTCCTCGGCGGCGGCGGCTCCCGCGGCGCAGAACAACGCGCGCAGCTTTCGCGCTGGAGGAACGCGCCGGAGGAAAGCCACGGGCGTACAATCAAAAACTCTGTGAGAGAGCGTCCCTGGTGACCCAAATCTCGCGCAATTGCGGCGGAGTGCCTAGCTCGCCTCCCAAAGCCGGCGATGATAACGCCTCACCCTAGACGGACCTGAGTTCCGATTGCGTTATCACGTCTCTTAGTTCACACATCTGGGCCGGCTCTCTGCCTCTCTGCCAAGACGAGCACCCGCCTGGACAAACTGCTGCCCGCGGCGCCCGACGCGGCGCAAAAAGAACATCCACAGCTTATCTGCCAAAGTGGGTGGCGAGATGGCCTTGCTGACAAGGCTGCGGCCGGCGCGAGCAAACGGCGAACAACCGCCTGCGCTGGGCAAGAACGTGCTGTACAAGGGGCAGAGCGCTTCTCTGGCAGCGCCCGTGGCGGCGTTTTTTTCAAGCGACGCCAGGGCCTCGCCGCGCACCAACTTCAGCACGGTTTCCCTGGTCATACAGTCGGGGCGCTCAAGAAGGAACCCTTTTGGTTGGGGAGGGGCTCCGCGTTCCTGAAGTGTTTCACAGTTTGCCTCAGGTTTCCCTTGTGTTTTCGATAAGAAATCGAAGTTTAACTTATGGAAAAAAGGGGCCTCGTTCCTTATTGTGGGTTCCTTAGGTCAGGGCCCCGACTGTACTCCCGTGGCCCAGGCTGCAGCCACGAGGGGGGCCCTGTACTCGGCCGTCCTCAAAGCCCGCGCACTCGGGACTTGCAGAGGAGCCAGGGGCAGGGCCCTCCTCAGAGCGCAGCACGCGCGCTTCCAGAACCCACGGGCTTGCCGTCCGCGCGGCCCGCGGCTGCGGAGCCCCGCGCCGCCGCGGCGCACGGCGAGCACTCGTGCGCAGACTGGCTGGTCTCGGACCCTGCCGAAGGAGGAGGAGGAGGAGGAGGAGGAGGAGGAGGAGGAGGAGGAGGAGGAGGAGGGGGAGATGCTCGATTCGGGTGGAAGATCGGCTGGCCTCGGCGAGCCGCTAGCTCTGCTGGGGCGTGCGTCGGTGGCCGCTGCTGTTGCCGTCGCCCCCATCGGCAACTCGTCAGCCCAGCGCGCCTCTTCGGCCCGAGCTCCTTCCAACAGGCGTACTGCTCCTGTGCCAGCTGGGAGTCCGTCGCCACCACAGCAAGTCATGAGGCGGCGGTGCACCAGGCATTCCACGAGGCCTCTCGCCGCCAGCGGCCGCTGCTGCTCAGCCAGTCGGCACACAACGACCGCCTGGAGGAGGCCGTCGTCGACTGCGTAGGCATTGGCCATGACGACGAAGGCGAAAGCAGGTCAACGCTCGACTGAGCCTGGCGCAGGGAGTTTCTCGACTCCGACTGCACATCGGCACCCTGCTGCTGTCGCCCAAGTGGCCGCTTCCCCAAATCGCCCGCCACGAGAGGAAATAGCTCGAACAAGGGCGCGAAATAAGACCCACGAGGGACCCGTCTCGATGGCCTCGCCCTTGAACTCCCACAGAATGGTAATCCAATGGTATTTGGAAAAAGCAAGCGCCAACATTCTGGAGACCTGACCTGACTTCCGCGAGAAGGACGCCACCGTGTTTTACGCGCAAGCCTGGCTTTCCTGCGGGCCTTCCCAGCCAGATCCCAGCGGGAGGGCTCATCGATATTGGCTGGCAGAGCTTCGACCAGACAAACGGCCAGAGGCTGGTCAGCGCGATCGGCATGATTCTCCTGGCGGGGGCCGCAACATCGACAGCGCGCACCTGAGCGGCCCCTGAGGGTCGGGCGTTGGTAGAACTGGGTTTAGTGGAACCTGGTTTAGTGATCTGTATCGGGGGCGCCCGCCCGTCCAATTTCCACTAACCGGAACTGCCGTCACCCGAAAAAACACCAGCTATGGCAAACCTGGTTTAGTGATTCTAGCCAGTTCGAAGGCTTCGAGGCCCCACGACTAACCGGGTCCCCTTACCCGGGGTCCTGCCCATACCCGAACCTGAGCGGCCCCCTGTCCCAGCAGCGCGCGATGTGCAGGAAAGCCTGGCGGCGCTCCCGCGGCGGCCGGCGCACCGAGCCGCGGTTGCCTGCCTTTCCCTGGCGGAGATTGGCCCAGGTGCGCTGGAGGAACGCGAACGTCGTCGCGAATCCCTCGAGGCCGACGCGACCCCAAGGCACTCCTCCTGGACAAGTAGAGGAAGAAAAGAGGATTATCCCAGTGCGACCCACCTAGGAGTTGGAGCCTCTAGGAAAGCAACATTAGTAGGATGGGCAAGGCTATGCTGGGCTAGGCTAGGCTAGGCTAGGCTAGGCTATGCTATGCTATGCTATGATATGTTTTTGTCGTGCCTTCGCTTTTGCCTTCACTTTTGCCTTTGCTTTTGCTTTTGCTTGGCACCCAGGGAGCTTAACTTGGGGAACCGCGCGTTTGCTTTTACTTTTGCTGTTGCTTTTGCTTGGCTCCCAGGGGACTGGGGGAACCGCCCGGGGCGATTTCCACTGCCTGGCCCCTTTAAGCGAAGCGAGTAAGAGCCCTTCTAGGCAGAGCCTAGGTAGGGAATTATGAAGGGGCCCCAGGACACACAAATAAATACACACAAATGAAAAGATTCCCCATAGCTTCCCATATTTGGGGGGTTTCTGTCTTCCCCCCCACTTCCCATATTTTCCCATATTTTCCCATATTTTCTGGGAATCGACGAATAATTGTGTGTGTTTTTTCCCCTCCTGAAATTAGGAAAACGACGGCGACAACGACGATGACGACGACGACGAGAAGGACGAGGAGCCAAAGGACCAGGAGGAATAACAGCAGGCGAAGACTCGTGGCTGCCGGCTGCCTCCAGAGCGGCCCCGCGCCGGAGGCCTCCTCCCTCTCACGCGCCAGTGCCTCGCCGACGACGCGCGCGAGGGCGCGGGGTTGGAGCCTCCCCCTCTGGCACCCTGATCTTGGCCCTCCTTCTGCTGCTGC